GCAGGAAGAAAGGTGACCAGACCGCCCTCTGAGTCCAGGGCAGGGAGATCTCACTTGCCTCCTGGAACAGAGCCTTTCAGGTCCCATCTCAGTAGATCCTCCCTCAGCTCTGGAGGGACAGGGAGGTCACTATTGTCCACACTGAAGCCTCATGGAGGGTGGGTGAATACAGTGGTTTCTCAAGCAAGGAGTCTGATTCCCTTCTATCATGATCAGAGCACCTGGCACCCTGCTGGCACTTAATACGGTGGTTTGAGTGCTGAGTGACCTGAAGAGCAGGTCAGGTTTAAGTCAGCAGGATTCTTGCAGCAAATGGAACCTGCTGCCCTCATGGTATGGATCATTTTATAGCTTGCTTTGAGCTGTGCCTGCCTTCCCAAGAGCTGAGAAGCATGTAGACACGGTGGGGAGTGTTAGGCGAGACTGTCCATTTAGACGGTCCACCGTGACCGACACAGCTCTGATGCTTTCCAAATGGACCATGAAGTGAAGTGAAGGGAAAGTCACTCAGTTCTGTCTGACTCTTTGCGACCCCAGGGACTGTAGTCCATGGAATTCTCCAGGCCAGCATACCGGAGTGGGTAGCCTTTCCCTTCTCCAGGGGGTTTTCCCAACCCAGGGATCGAACCCAACCTGGGCAGCTACAATCCATGGGGTCACAGAGTCGGACACGACTGAGCGACTTTCTCCTCACTTCCCTTCACTGTCCGTTTGGGAAGCATCAGAGCTGGTGTCGGTCACGGTGGGCAGTCTGCAGTGAGCACCCCGCCTAGGCCGAGGTCTCGGTTTGCGTGTTCTCCGGGGTTCTGTGCCGCTCGCCTGCTAATGGCTAATACTCAGCAGGCGATACGGGGAGCTAGTCACAGATTCAGGGATCCCATCCAACCTGCGGGTGGAAGCAACACTCTTTCTGGTGAAGAAGTATTGTGCTTGGGCGGCATCCACCCCACAGATGGTTTTGGAGCCCTGGGACTTGCTGCTGGGTTGGGTCACAGCCTTGCAGCGTGGGGGCGGGGGACCCAGTGACATCTGAAACTCGAGAGCTAGGAGAGGCTTAAGAGGTCCCCATGATGGGTCAGTAGCAGGTTTAAGAAGGAGGAAAACTTACTTTTGAGGCCAGTCTTGAGGGGCTGAAAGATGAATAGATCTCTGCACGCTCCCACCCAACCTGAATCTTCCAAGTTAATGTGGGGGTCGACTGGGTGCTGTGGTGTACAGCATCCAGATGGTCTCAGCTCACATTACTCTCTGCAGGCCGCGTCCTTGAGCCCGGCTCCTCGTGTGGGCTGGGTGGGCAGACAAAGACAAAAGGACCGGGTGCAGTAGAGTGAGTGTGACACTTGGGGACCACCCGGGGTGGTGAGGGAGAGGTGGGGCCCCAGTTCTTGCACGTGCTTTCTGAGATGGACGGTAGCAGATTCAGTGTTCTGAATAGCTCCAGCAATGGAGCTATTAGTTCTGAGATAGATTTTGTTTGCCTGGAGGCTTCCAGGCTCCTGGAGGAGGTAAGAGCCACAGAAGGTCAGTCCCTGGCTTGTCAAGGAAAGATGCTTGCATCGCATTGGGCAGACATTTCTCATGTTCGCTTACCCTGATGAAGAGCCACTTAAGTAGAGATACACAGGGAAGCCGAGGGAAGCGTGGATATTGTGGTCCTGAGCGTGAAGGATGCTCATTCTGTGTGCTTGTGGCTAGGGGCACTGGGAAGGAGGGGACGATAAGAAAGGGAATGGAGGCCTTGGGACTTTGGGGGGAGAGGGTGAACCCTAGGGTGAAAGTAAGCAGGGGGACCCCCCGCCTCTGGGCCTGTGCTGTCCAGGGCAGAAGTCCCTCACCGCATGTGGCCACAAAGCACTTGAACTGTAGCTTGTCTGAATCGCGATGCACTGAATGGATCCAAGGACTCTTGAGGGTCCCTTGGCCTGCAAGGAGATCCAACCAGTCCACCCTAAAGGAGGTCAGCTTGAAGGCAGGAGAAGGGGACCACAGAGGATGAGATGGTTGGATGGCATCACTGACTCGATGGACATGGGTTTGAGTAAACTCCGGGAGTTGGTGATGGACAGGAAAGCCTGGCGTGCTGCAGTCCATGGGGTTGCAAAGAGTCGGACACGACTGAGCGACTGAACTGAACTGAAGGGATCCACACTAGCTTCTGAACTCTTGGTATGAAAATAAGACTGTAAAAGAGCTCATTCATATTTGTGTGTGCTCAGTCACTCAGTAGTGTCCAACTCTTTTGCAACCCTGTGGACTGTAACCCACCAGTTTCCTCTGTCCATGGAATTTTCCGAGCAAGAATATTGTAGTGGGTTGCTATTTCCTCCTCTAGGGGGGTCTTCCTGACCCAGGGATCAAACCCGGGTCTCCTGCATTGGCAGGCGGGTTCTTTACCTCTGAAATAGCTGGAAAGCCCCTCCAGATTCATATTTATATTGATACCATATTGAATAGACCCTGATGCTCGGAAAGATTGAGGGCAAGAGGAGAAGGGAGTGACAGAGAATGAGATGATTGGATGGCATCACTAACTCAGCAGACATGAGTTTGGGCAAACTCAGGGAGATAGTGAAGGACAGGGAAGCCTGGTGTGCTGCAGTCCATGGGGTCTCAAAGAGTCGGACACAACTTAGCAACTGAACAGCAACAACATTGAAGTGATACTGTTTTGCATATACTTGGAGTAAGTAAAATATTAAAGTTAATCTTAAAAATTTTTTAAAAATATTTGTATAACCTTGACATGGTAGAAATTTTTTGGAGGGCTGGACTGCAAGGCATGTGAGATCTTAGTTCCCTGACCAGGGATTGAACCTCAGTCCCTGCATTGGACGTGTGGAGTCTTAACCACTGGATTGCCTGGGAAGTCCCTAAAATTAATCTTAAATTAATTACCTTTTTAAATGGAGCTACTCGGAAATCTGAAATTACCTACGTGGCTCTTGGTGTGTTTCTGTAACATGGTGCTGCTTTAAACCACGGGAACAGAGATGTCTGTGCTTCAGAGTCTTGAGATGGGTTTTTGGCCAGCACAACATAGTGAGGCCTCTGCTTGAGCAACACTTGTCACGTGTGTGCAGGTGAAGCAAAGAGACTGGTTCAAGGCCGGAGGATACCTGTGACCTTCTGGTCCTGGGTTGCCCCTGTGGGACCTTGGAGAAACTCTAGGGTTCCCAGGGCACCTGCCAGCCTGAAAATCCCTGTTCCTGCATCGCATGTGTCTGCTCCATGCATGTGGGAAGCGGTTTTCCAGAAGGAAAACGCTCACATGTCCTGTGGGCACGTGACTTGCTTTGTTTCCCGGCCTGTACATCTGAGCATCTTTGATTTAAAACAGGGTTCACCCTGGGGTTTCCTTTGCCCCCCCAGTAGTGCCCTTTGGAAGCGATCATGCAGGACCCAGAACATCCCAGATGCTCGCTCCTGGGGCAGGAGACAGTGGGCAGTGTGGGATGGGCCCCCACCAAAGGAAGGGAGACCTGGGCTGGGGTCACAGATTTTAGACACGTCATCCTCCCTATCAGCACATCGTGGGAGCTCAGCCACTCAGTCGTGTCCGACTTTTTGTGACCCCATGCACTGCAGCCCGCCAGGCTCCTGTGTCCATGGAGTTTTCCAGGCAGGAGTCCTGGAGTGGGTTGCCATTTCCTCCTCCAGGGAATCTTCCCAACCGAGGGATGGAACCCGCTTCTCCTGCATTGGCAGGTGGATTCTTTACCACTGAGCCACCTGCCGTCTGCCGCGCTATGTCATTACTAGATGGGTGGATCAGGATACAACGTAGCTCCAGACCTACATGAGAGTTTTTAAATGCCCCAAATGATCATGTCCAGAAACATCCAACTTTGCTTAGTGTTTCTGGATTTTCATGCACTGCTTGGAGGTGGGGAGGGACAGCTCATGCTGAGAGCTCTTGGTAGGGGACTTCCCTGGAGATTGAGACTGGGGTGGGGGTTCGATGCCTGGTCAGACAGCTAAGATCCAACATGCCTCGGGGCCAAAAAAAGCCACAACATAAAAACAGAAGCAATATTGTAACAAATTCAATAAAGACTAAAAATGGTCCACATCAAAAAAAAAATCTTAATAAAAGAGCTCTTGGGTTAGGTTAATTGTAAATTGCTTTCATTTGTAAAATATCATGTAAATGTGTGGTTGTTAAAGACTAAATCACATCTGTGTTTCCAAGTAAGAATTCGAGGTTTCATGGGCTGTGGGACAAAAAGCACTAGGGATACATGGAGTCACAGTTCACTAAGGAAATCTGATGTCACTACCCTGCGTGCAACTGTTAACGCGTTTTCCAGCTGAAAACAAAAAATCACATTTGCAGTTTAGATCTTCATTCTTTCCTGAGGCTGGTTGCTGTCAATCCAGTTTGGACTACATAAATTAACCGGCAAAAATCAAGCACGCCGGTCACAGTAAAACTTTAAACCTTGCAATTCAGTGTCCTGTCAACGTGTTCATATAGAAAAGGGTTGGCAGACTTGTTTCGTGAAGGGCAAGGTGGTAAAGATTTGAGGCTTTGAGGACCGTATGGTTTCTGTTGCTCAGCTCCTGCAGTTTGTATGACTGAGCAACCGGAGTCAATGTATGGGTGCGGCCGCATCGGGAATTTAAAAAGAAATAATTAAACTTGATTTATTGACAAAAAAGAATTGGCGACTTCAGTGTAACATTTTATCAGTGAGTATTAAGTAGGTGTATGTAGTTTGCTGGTAAATATGAAGGCGTCTTGTGAAAAGCTGAAAACTCTTAAAAATGGCAACCCTCCAGTTCTGCCAACTAGCAGAACTTGAGGTAAAATATATCTGCCTTCCATTCTTTGATTCATTAGAGCCTCATTAGCTCAATTATTTACCTACTTTAAGAAAGAGAAATAAAAGTATACTATGTCGCAGTTCAATAATTTGTGAGCACATATTTTCTAAATAGCCTTTTTATATTTTTACTGAAAAAGTAATCTTGCTATTGTTTTGTGGCTTTTTTCCCCCCAGATATTTTAAGAAATATTATACAGAAGAAGTTTGACCCCTCAAAGGAGTATGATAAGGTAATTTTGGATTGATGTATTTGTTATCAAAAAATGAGTATGAGCAAAATATTGGCTGACTTGAAAGTTAATCTTTAAATAAATCTGTGAATTTAGCTAATATTTGACTTAGAAGTTTTATGGAATATTGAAACACCTTTTAAATCCCATGTGAACTATAGAAATTTCAAAGGTGGCATTTACAGAAATATTCACCTTTTAAGCTGTATTTTATTGAAAATCTAAAAGTTCCTTTAATGAAGTCTTATGCTATTTTTTTTTTAAAGCAAGGGAGGAGACCTCTAACAAATGGAGTGGTTTGAACATCCCTAGAAGCAGGGACGCATACTTGTAACACATGCATGCGCACGTGCAGAAGAGAAAGAGTGAATTCTGACCAGAGTGCTTCCACCAGGAGGTGACTCTGGTAAAGCTGAGAGGGCTGGAGTGGTGGGAGGTGGCTTTGCGGGGGCCCAGGCTGCGGGGAACACGTGAGGGGAGGACGGGGCATGAGAGGAGGAAGCCCACAGATGGAGCCGGTGGATGAGGGGAGACGAAGGCCAGGTGAGCTGGGGCCAGGGCAGGGCAGGGCCTGGAAGGCCCTGCTCAGGTGAGTGGCCAGTATTGTCAGAAAGTACCCAGGCACCTTCACGTCTCTACTTAACTCCAAGGTTAGGGTTAGGGTTAGGGTGCTGTGAATTCACCGTTTGCATCCACGAGATTAACTTCCTTCAAGAGACAAATGTGTTCTTTTGATTCTGGCTTTTGATGAATGCCAGTTGCCAGTAAAACAAACAGGCAAATGTTTGTTGCCATGAATGTTAGGATAATAAAGATTAGTTGAGTCTGGTTGTCAAGCTATTAGTCCTGCAGGGTCAGACTGCCCATTCCAACCTTTCCTGGTATGAAGGTGGTTGTCAAGACAACAATCAAAGGGACCAGCAGGACTTTTATTTATTTAATGGCCAGCATGACAGATGTGAATGAAAGTGTCCCCGGTGGGTGTGAGGGCGCTGCACCAGGAGGGCAGTGAACCCTCCTTGTCTGACGGTGGGAACAATGGCTGCATATTCTCAATTTGCAGTAAAATGACAGTCAAGACAAAACTGAATGTAAAAGCCAAGAGGAAAGCCTCATTTCATGGCCCTTTATGTGTATAAAAGGAAAGGAGCCATTTACTCCCTGGTGCCTGCAGCCTGCCCTGATACCTCGGAAAGCATCTTTATTCTTCAGTTCCACTGGCTTCACTTATATCTTCCGGACATGATGCCCCATGTCTGCCTGCCTCCCTGGGCAGAATAAAATGACTGTTGCTCTCATATTTATGTTAAAAATTTGCATGCCATTAGCAGCCCAGCCGGAGTGCCTGTTAGCCCTGCAGAGACATGGGAGGGGATGAGCGGCCGAGCTTCATCTGGGCCAGGCCTGGGGGGTCTAGGGCCTTGGACCCTGAGGCGACTCTGAGCAGCCTGTTGAGTATGAGCTGGCATTGGCTGCCACCATCCCTGGACGAGTCATCTGTGGTTGGCTTGATATTAGGCCTGGAGTTCCTGTAGACTTGGGGGCCCCCTCGTTCCTGATTTCCTCTCCACCTCAGGCATCTTTACAAATAGATAAACACTGCTGGGGTGGAGAAAGGAGACAAAACTGGGCCCTTGTGAATGAATGGACTCCTACCCTAAGCATGGAACTGGGTCATGTTTCCCAGTTATCCAGGGAGAAGGATTTGGTTAAACAAAGACACCCAGGAAGCCAGGGCGCCTTGGGAGGGGAGCTTTCTAACTGGCCTTAGTCAGGTAAATGCTGTCCTGAAGCAGAGCCTGAGTCAAGGACTTCAGGGCGAGTCACTTATTTGGAAAGTTCCGGGAACCCTGGCTGGGGAGTGGGAGGTGAAACAGGAGGGAGGGCAGCCTACAGGGGGTGTGTCATTCCACCACCCACCACAGGGGGCGACAGGGCTCCGTCCCGTAGAGCAGCTGCCCTGGACCCGGTGGACCAGCCCACCGGAAGGGGCGGGGGCTGCGCGCTCCCAGCACGGAAACTGAAGAGGCACCGTAAGGGCCGCCTGGGGCAGGGGACGGTATTAATGCCTGAGCGCTCTGACCTTCCATGGTTCTGGAAGATGCCTTCGAGCACGAGTACCTGTAGTAAGAAGGCTGGGGAGGCACACGGAGATGGCTAACGGTCTCGGGACTCGGGCGGACTCCACAGCATCCTCTGTGCTGGCCATGCCCACTGGGGGTGATATACACAGTCACACAGCGACCGTCTGTCCAGCTGAACGGCCCTTGGGAGTCCTTCAACTGTCCATGTCCTGAGCTCGTTTCATCTCCTGGTGAGCCCACAGTAGCCGGGGCAGCTGAGTTGGCGATCTCTGGACAGGGGCTCTTTCAGTGAACTTCATCCCTTGGGAAGTTGGAAGCTGTCAGTAGGTGTAGACCCTGTGTTCCAAGGGGCAGCCTTGACTCTGGATGGAAATATGACTCCTTCCCACGGAACTGCCTCCTCGTTCCACCTCAGCTGAACATGAAAAGTAGTCCTTGAAGATCTGTGGTCTCGTTCTCCTCCGGAGATTTTTTTAAAACACTTTTTTCCCCTTTATTTAATGTATTCACTTAATGAGTATTTACAGAGCACACACTAGGAGCAATGCATAATAGGAGGACAAACATGTGAAAGTAATGTCTACTCCAATAATTTGCAGTTGGTGAAAAGGAGGTCGTGGGGTTAGACTTGTGTATGCTTGGACATTGTGAGCTGAATTGTGTCCAAAACTCATACGCTGAAGTGCTAATCCCCTGTGGCTCAGAATGGGAGACTATTTAGAGGTAAGGTCTTTAAAGGGGTGATTAAGTCAAAATGGGGTCATTCAGGTGGGTGTTAATCTAGTCTGACTGGTCTCCTTCTAAGAAGAGATTAGGACACAAAGTCTCTGTGGGGACAGGAAGAAGATGGCCATCTGCAAGCCAAGGAGAGCGGCATTAAAAGAAACTAACCCCGCCCACACCTTGACTTTAGACTTTCCAGCCTCCAGAACTATGAGAAAATAAATTTCTGTTCTTCAAGCCACCCAGCCCTGGTATTTGGTTATAGCAGCCCTAGCCGACTGGTGCAGTAGACACCTGGAAGGCAAGATGCAGAGGGATACACATGCCATGAGAAGTTCGGATCCAGGGCGGTGAACGTGCTGAGGATGGAAAGTGTACTGGCACTTGAGGAAATGAAGAAAGCCTCCAGAGTGGCACTGGCATGTAAGGGACTTTACAGTGGCATCCTAAGGTGACTCACTGGGAAGAGCGGCTTCCATCCGAGTATCTTGAGCTGTGAGCACAGAGGGTGAGAGCCCCAGAGCTGCACCTTTTACCTATGAAACCATGAGAGATTACTGTGTGCAGCTCCCCCGGCAGGAGATGGTCAGGCAGAAGTGGAAGACCTGGCTCGGAAGACAATTTGGAGTTATGGAGCCGTGGGGAAATCTGAGGACCAGACAGATGAAGCTATAGAAATCCGAGAAGCAACTTGAATAACCCTCTTTTTTTTTTTAACTTGTGTTTAGGCTTTTATTCTTTATTTAAATGAATTTATTTTTATTGAAGGATAATTGCTTTACAGAATTTTGCTGTTTTCTGTCAAACCTCAACATGAGTCAGCCACAGGGATACATACATCCCCTCGCTTTTGAACCTCGCTGCCAACTGTTTGCTAGCACTTACATAGTACGGGCTCCAGGGCAGGCGCCCGAGAACGCGCTTTACAAACAGTAACTCTTAGTGTCCACAGGAGGAGACTGCCCGCAGCAGAGGTGTTTAGGTCGCAAGTGAATACATTCATGTATTCCGTCCTGAGCTTTCAGCACGCAAGGCGTGAGCCAAGCCCTGGGCTTGTGATGCAAAATGAGCTATGCAAAGCAACCCTGATATGGAAGAATACATTTCCCCTGGGGACCAGGGGGTGTGGGCCAGCCCCTCCACAGACTCTCCACCTGCTGGCTGTAAACAAGGGAAACTGCAACATCACTTGTCTCACTGCTCACTTGGGGTTTCTGCAGGGAGAACCTCTCAGCCTAGCTTGTCAGAGTGGTGCCTGCTCAGTTAAAGGACAAGGTTCCTATCTTCAAGGAATGCACGGTATCAGATAATTTAGGTGGTGACTTAGGATCACCTCCCACCGATGATCCATAAGTGTCACCCACACCTCTAAAACTTTTCAGGGGATGTTCTCCCCAGCCTCGTGCCCCCCTCCCACCTGCCATCTTTTATATTCTGAGCATCAATGTTGGCAGGACTTCGAGTCTCCTTGCGATGACTTCCTGAAGTGGTTTTCGTGTGGCCTTGGTTCAGCTCCACTCCAGCGTCTTGGCTGACGCTCCTCTAGACTCAGCTGGGCCGGATCCTCCTCATTCTTTTCATCCCTCAGTTACTATGCCTCACTGTCTTGGATGAGATGGTTGGATGGCATCACCAACTTGATGATGAGTTTCAGCAAGCTCCAAGAATTGGTGATGGACAGGGAAGCCTGGCGTGCTGCAGCCCATGGGGTCTCAAAGAGTTGGACATGACTGAGCGACTGAGCTGAACTGGTCTTGGAGCTTCCTCTGGAGTCAGGTGCAGGGCCTGGGACTGATTGCTAAGGCCTCAGTCCCGACCTCGCCAGAGCTAAGAGTCCTGGGATATTGATTCATCACTTTGTAAATGTCAATTCATCAATCCAGGTGGGTTTGTGACGCTTGAAACCCAGCCTCTGTGTTTGCAAAAGTGTAACAATGACTTTGTCACTGCCTCCTCTTTTTTAAAAGAAACAAGGGACAGTCTCATAACTTGAGCAGATTTCTCATCGTGGGAAGCTCATTACTTTGCCGTGGATCAGTCCTTGCCTGTCGCTGACAATCCCCCATCTCTGGACCACTGTTTAGGGATTGTTGGTCTTAGGCGATGTTGCTCCTTCTCTGTTCTCTCCATTAGCTTGTCTGACTGTGATCCGGCACCTCTCATAAGACAGGTCCGGGACCGAGCACCTGGGAGAGACAGTGAATGTGATGGTCACGGTCCTCGCCCTCCTGGAGCTGCAGGTCACGTTGGAGCCATCACTCCACACGATGGAAGGGCTGTAGTACCTTGAAAGGGCAGGTGTAGTACTCCATGGCAGCACGCAGGAAGAATGTACAGCCAACCCAGACGTGGTCATCAGGACAGACTTTCCTGGAGGAAGCAGCATCCACACTCAGACTTGAGTTTCCTCAGGAGAAGAGTGATGGGATTAATGTTCAAGCAGCGGGGAGCTCAAAGTGAGGAAGGGAGAGAGAGCACGGGGCTTTCTAGGGACCAAGAAGGCGGCCAGGAAGCCAGGAGTAAGTAAGATAGGCCCACGTGGAGAAGTTTGAATTAAACGTGGTGGGACCCCATGGCATGCTGCTAAGCAAGAGAATGACATCATCGGATTGTCATTTCAGAAAGGAGCCTTGGGCTCTGGGGTTTAGGCAGCCCCGGACTCTGCTCTATGGGGACCACGTGGTTAGTGTGTTAAGCATTTGTGACTTTCCCTCTAATTCCCGGTCTGTAACTGATTAGCACACTGATGAAGAGCCTTTCAGGAAACCCAGCTGTAAATTCAAGTGGGGGCCCTAGAACTGACTCTTCCCTGAAACACTGTTTCTCTCATAAATGCTCCTTCTCTCTCTCGATTCTCTCTGTGCTGGACGTTGGTGTTCTCAGTGGCGGTTAATCGCTCCAGTAACGTTTTCTGTTTTCTTGATGCATGCTGCCCGTGCTTGCACAAACTCTGCGACGGCTCTGCCTTCCTCAGCCAGAAAACGTAGTCTTGACTCTGAAGGTAACGCCCTTGCCTGCTGTTTGACGTTGCTCTGTGTAAAGCTCGCTGTGACGCTTTTGCCAGAACCCCCAGTTCCCTGTCCTCTCCACTGATAGTTTTTAAGTTGCTTCATTTTTGTTTCTGCTATTGTCTTCATCCTCTCTTTCAGCTCTAGTAGTCCAGGAAAGAATAAGAAACCATCTTGGCAAGCTTAAAATTTCGATCTTCTCTTCAACGCAACCCACAAAGCAGTCCGGAGATCTTGGTGTGTGAGGACAATATTTATGTCCTTGCCAGGTCTTGGCCAGACTTCAGTCTAGACGTGAACTCTGGAAATGACACATCTTGTTCCAGATACTGTTCAGCCCAGTGTTCAGTCCTCCCTAGCAACTCAGATGGTAAAGAATCCGCCGACAATGCCGGGTTCGGTTCCTGGGTTGGGAAGACCCCCTGGAGAAGAATACCCACTCCAGTACTCTTCCCTGGAGAATCCCAAAGACAGAGGAGCCTGGTGGGCTCCAGTCCATGGGGTCGCAAAGAGTCGCATACCTCTGAGGGACTTTCGCTTCACTTCACTTCATTGGAAAGCTTATATACAAAATATAAAGTTCTCATCTGGGACTAAAGATAGTGCATGTGAAACATTTCGATACACCTTCTCTCCTGGGTTCTCTGTCTCCTAGGATTCAGAAAGGATTTTAAATTCCTTTAGAAGTAGTAACAATTTTTAAAAATAGTAACAGTTTAGAATACTTGCTGAGAAATGGTAGCAGAATAAGTAAGAGTTTGGTGTGTCTAGAGCTGGGTTTTCAAGTGGCCAGTGATGTGAGTGCTCAAGGGAGGGTTACAGACCAGCAAGTAATGACTCTACATGGCCCTGGTGTCTGGTTTATTTTAAGGAGTATGTTTGATGAGTGCATCAAAAATGCACTATTTTTCCTTTGTACCCTTTTAACCTTATAGGATAAAGGATATCTAATTATATGGAATATGGAATTAGATAATATTCAAGTGCTGTGTATACCTAGTTCAATGCTCATAATAAGCATTTGCCCACAGAGTTAGCTAATATTGATTGAACATTTGCTGTGTGCTGGGCACTTTGCTAGTTTACACATTAGCTCATTTAATTATCTGTCCCTCTCAATCTGCTAAGGACGTTAACCCTAATGTAACATTTCCTGCCTTAGAGAATTAAAAGCCTCCTCTGCTGGGATTCAGAGCAGGTTCTCAGACTCCCAAGTTCAGTGCTGTCTCACAAGGACATCACATTTACTCGTAGGAACAAGACTTGGGTTTCGTTTTCCTTTGCTCTGCTTGGCTTCAGAATGTCTTGCTCTCTAGCTGCTCCAGTAGTTGCAAACGTCCAGCCTGTCGCTTTTCTGCGTTCTTTCACAGTGTCTTCCTTTATGTCGGTTCGAGTACTAGCCTGCAGGGACTGGAACGAGAACAAGTTTCATCCTCCCATGGCGTTAATTTTCACTAGGCTGGAACAAAGCCAGCTGTGTTTATGAAAACAGGTTTTGGTCACGCGATTGTGTCTAGAAATTGGGCTCGTTAGGAACCTAGAGACTTATGAGATGAGGGCTCCTGAGCCCCATCCCACCGGCCTGAAAGGGCCACGTATGGACCGTCTGCTCGTGCCACGTACTTTCCTTGGCACCTTATCGCTAACTGCATATGGTCTACAGTGTTCATGATGACCTTACAAGGTATGTATTTTTATTCTCAGTACCTGGGTGAGGAAACTATCATGTTTGATTTGGAAAGACTGAGACTTTTTCCCTTAAATTTAGGTATATTCCAGATTCTTCTACAATGATGAATTTGTCATTAATTGATCCTATCCAAACTACTGTGAATCCTGAATAACTACTGCTGGTTCTGTCTTTCTGGTGAAAAACACCCTTGGTATGTGTGTGTATTTAGTCGCTCAGTCGTGTCTGGCTCTGCGATCCCATGGACGGTAGCCTTGTCAGGCCCGTTTGTCCACGGGACTTTTCACAACAAGAATCCTGGAGTGAGTTGCCAATTCCTCCTCCAGGGGATTGGCCTTCCCAGCCAGGGACTGAATCTGTGTCTCCTGCATCTCCTGCATTGCAGGCAGATTCTTTACTGCTGAGCCACCGGGGCTTACTCATTATACAAGGAGTTCTGGCAAAATTTATCATGCCATTTGAAAACAAAGTACCTTTGAAAGTGAAAGTGGAACAATTAATCTCTCAGTCATATCCGACTCTTTGGGGTTGAAATTAAACAATTTGCAACTTGACTTTGCATTTGGATATTTTCCCGGAAGTTGAAAGAAGGTCTTTTCCAGAACTGACTCACTGGATTCAGTGAGAAGAACTGACTAATTTGAAAAGACCCTGATGCTGGGAAAGATTGAAGGCAGGAGAAGAAGGGAACCGACAGAGGATGAGATGGTTGGATGGCATCACCGACTCAATGGACATGAGTTTACGTAGGCTCCAGGAGTTGGTGATGGACAGGGAAGCCTGGCATGCTGCGGTCCATGGGGTCGCAAAGAGTCAGACATGACTGAGCGACTGAACCGACTGACTGAAAGAAGGTAGCAACTGCTTGATCCCATATTCTGACAACTGAAATCTCTGCATCCTTTGTTTCAGGAAGGATCTTCAAAGTGGACACACACACACACACACACACCCCTGAGGCTTTAAGCCATGATGGCAAATAGGTTAAAAAGCATATAATGTGTATACTGTGGAATGTTCTCCGTGTAACTGGTGTCACAGTCTTTGCTGTTTCTTTTGTTTGACTTGCAGATTATCTACTATGAGATCGGGGTTATTATCTGTGCTGCCCTGGGATTGCTGTTTATTATTCTGATGCCTCTGGTGGGATTTTTCTTTTGTCTGTGACTAGTTTAGGTGATAAGCCAACCTCATGGTATTTTTTTCATTTTGAAGACATCTGAATAAATTCTGGGCCTGCAGAAAGCATTCGTCTTTCAGGACAGCACCTCTTTCCTCTTAAGTAGCTCTCTCGAGACAGGGACCATGCAGGACAGCAAAGCAAGTATTTACTAGCTGATCTTTATTTCCCAAGGGATCTTTTTTTAAAAAGTTTTTTTTTTTAATTGAAGATTGGTTGATTTACAGTATGTTACTTTCAGATGTATAGCACAATGATTCAGTTATATGTACCTATGTGTGTGTGTGTATATATATATATCTTATATATATACACACATATATTCCTTTTCAGATTCTTTTCTTTGAAACATTATTACAAAATATTGAGTATAATTCCCTGCGTTCTACAGATGGGTAGCATCCTTGAATTGGGAGATTTAGAATATTGTTGGACGGAATTAGCTTCCTAATCATATAGCCAGTTTTCTTGATTTTTACAATTATCCTGGAACCCTGTCTTTTTTTTTTTAAAGTTTGTTCAATGTAGATTCTTACTGTGAGAAAGAATCTGTTCACTATACCTCTCTCCCCTTTGAAAATGATAATAACGCTTGCAGTCACAGGTTCTTGAGAGAATGATCTTCACAACTATGACTCATCGTAGGGAATGAGTGTGTGGGTATGGGGTAGGGCTTGGGACGAACCGGGGGGTTGAGATTGGCATGCGTGCACCGCCGCGTGTAAAGCAGAGAGTGGAAATGAGCTGCACAGCCCAGAGACCCCAGCTCGGGGCTCTGTGACGGCCGAGAGCGTTGGGATGGGCGCGCAGTGCGGGAGGGAGGCCCAGGAGGGGCGGGAGACGTGTGTACGTGTGGCTGAGTCACTTCACTGTATGGCAGAAACTGACACGACATTGTGAAACAGCTGTACCCCAGTTTAATGAAACATAGCATCAAGACTGTTACTGAGTTAAAAATAAGTAACACATACATAAATCTAGAAATCTAGCTCCTTCAGGGACCTCTCGGGTGGTCCAGTGGTTAAGACTCCGTGCTTCCAGTGAAGGGGTTGTGGGTTCGACCCCTGGTCAGGGAACTTAAGATCCCACATGCTGTGCATGCAGTGTGGCCAAAAATAAAATAAAATACTAGTTTAGGTGATAAGCCAACCTCATGGTATTTTTTTCATTTTGAAGACATCTGAATAAATTCTGGGCCTGCAGAAAGCATTCGTCTTTCAGGATAGCACCTCCTTCCTCTTAAGTAGCTCTCTCGAGACAGGGACCATGCAGGACGGCAAAGCAAGTATTTACTAGCTGATCTTTATTTCCCAAGGGATCTTTTTTTAAAAAGTTTTTTTTTTTTAAAGTTTGTTCAATGTAGATTCTTACTGTGAGAAAGAATCTGTTCACTATACCTCTCTCCCCTTTGAAAATGATAATGACGCTTGCAGTCACAGGTTCTTGAGAGAATGATCTTCACAACTATGACTCAGAGTAGGGAATGAGTGTGTGGGTATGGGGTAGGGCTTGGGACGAACCGGGGGGTTGAGATTGGCACGCGTGCACCGCCGTGTGTAAAGCAGAGAGTGGAAATGAGCTGCACAGCCCAGAGACCCCAGCTCGGGGCTCTGTGACGGCCGAGAACGTTGGGATGGGCGCGCAGTGTGGGAGGGAGGCCCAGGAGGGGCGGGAGACGTGTGTACGTGTGGCTGAGTCACTTCACTGTGTGGCAGAAACTGACACGACATTGCGAAACAGCTGTACCCCAGTTTAATGAAACATAGCATCAAGACTATTACTGAGTCAAAAATAAGTAACACATGCATAAATCTAGAAATCTAGCTCCTTCAGGGACCTCTCGGGTGGTCCAGTGGTTAAGGCTCCATGCTTCCAGTGAAGGGGTTGTGGGTTCGACCCCTGGTCAGGGAACTTAAGATCCCACATGCTGTGCATGCAGTGTGGCCAAAAATAAAATAAAATTCAATAAACTAAAAAAAAAATAATGATCTAGCTCCTATAGTGTTCCATGTTCTGTAAACATTTCCTTCAGTGTTTCGCATAGTAATCTGGAGGCAGGCGCCTGTACCCTAGTTATGATGCATTACCCAGTTATAGAATNTGCTTCCAGTGAAGGGGTTGTGGGTTCGACCCCTGGTCAGGGAACTTAAGATCCCACATGCTGTGCATGCAGTGTGGCCAAAAATAAAATAAAATTCAATAAACTAAAAAAAAAATAATGATCTAGCTCCTATAGTGTTCCATGTTCTGTAAACATTTCCTTCAGTGTTTCGCATAGTAATCTGGAGGCAGGCGCCTGTACCCTAGTTATGATGCATTACCCAGTTATAGAATTTGCCTATTTCTGGTTCTGTCGGTGTTCTTCCTTTTGGAAATGATATGGAACGCTCTCTTGAAGCCTGGAGCACACTTCATGACTTAGGATGTTTCTCTGGCAGCCCTGCTGCTGCCAGAAGTCTTCAGTGGACTGACGGATCAGGACAGTGCTTTTAAGATGAGGACAATTGTTGTTGTGTAGTCGCAAATATGTGTCCGACTCTTTTGTGACCCCATGGATTGTAGACCTCCAGGCTCCTCTGTCCATGGGATTTCTTGAGTCCAAATCAGATTCCTTCAAAAGGAGTGTGCTTCATGATCTTGGCACCCTGGTGGTGATATTTGGGCATCTCTCCACATTCCTTCATCCATTCAATGAGCGTGTCATATCCAGAAATAAAGTGCCTGTAACATGAGCGATGCTGAGCTTCAAGGAGTCCCAGAGATAGTGAGGAGTGGAGAGTCACATCCTCCTTGATGTGTCTGCAAGCATCACAGTTGCTTGATAGCCGTGAGAAAGATTTTTCAAGTTTCGCTAAAGAACTGATATTGGGGAATTTAAGCAGAAAACAGACATTAAATAGAACAATTTAAAGTTCCAAAGTTCTGGCTGCAAACCAAAGAAGAAAAGTTCTTTAAGTGTGGGCCACAGTAGAGGCAGGGAGAGAGGAACTATCTGGGGAACTAGGAGTTCCCCAGCTGATTTCGTGCACCTTGGTTCGACTACCAGGGAGTTTGTGCGTGCGTTTTGTCCGCAAGGCAGGGCTGTGGGTCCGCTCTCTCGTTCCTGTTTCCCTGTGTGCCTCTTGTCTCTTGGTTTGTAATTTGAATCTGACTGCTTCTGCCCACTGAACTCTGAGAGGCAGCTTGAGGCTGGGGCGATGGTGATTCCAGATGTCCCCAGGCTCTCTGCCTGGTGTTTGAAGTGTTTTCAGGAATGTACAGACCCTACAGCGGGGGGAGTAGCTACCAGAGGAATGTCAGTTACTGCCCAAGACAAGTCAGACCCTGTGCATTTCCTTGAAGCCTGAAACTTACATCCTTCATTCATCCAGAGTCCTGAACTGTGGTCCCTCTTCCTCTCTGCACACCCCTGGACATCAAAGATGAGGTTCAGGTGACAAAGTGTCTTTTGAAAATACTTGTTCGTGGGGCTTCTTGTTAGCATGATTACTTAATAGTTTTCACTTCATGTAGATACATGTTGTGTAAAGATACATAAATGTTACAGCTTCAGTGTCAGCAATAAGCTTGGCTTTCATTTTATATAAAACGAAAGCTACATAAATTTTTTTTATTCTTGAGGACTCAGTCTCATCAAACACATTTAGATGAGTTTTTTTCTCTCGAGTATATTTTAGTTTAGAAAATCATTTTAAAAAATACATCTGTGATTCTATAATCTTCTCTACACTCAGTGAAGATATTTTCCCCACTCAAGTAAAACTTATAATTTAATATCATAATTTTAAATTCGATATAATTAAACCAGAGTGGATCCACTCTTCGAGGCTGTGACAAATTTTAAACTAATTTATTTCACATAATACATTGAATTTATATACAAATTATAGATAGGTCTAAATAAGAGGAGTATTAAAATTGTTTTGTTTACTTTAAATTCAGACTAGAAATTTAAACTTCTTTACTTTGAATTTAAAAAATTTATATAGTGACTTTAAGTCATCCTTTTAGAATATCTACTTGTTTGTAAGTTTCTTCAACATCATGAGTTGTTTTAAATGTTTGCAAGTAAACAAAACTAGCCAAGAAGATTAAAAACCAGAGGAAAACAGAAATATCTAGAAAAAAGAGAGGAGGAACTATGTCCATAAAATCAGAATATTAGATAAAATAAGAGAGTGAGTGTCCACAAAATCAGAAGGCAGAAGGAGAGAGAAGAAGAGGTGTTAGCGTATGCTTCCAAAGACCTCAGCCGAGATTGAATACTACTGATATTTAACCTTTGTATGTGATTTTTTTAATAAGTCCTTTTAGGAGCCCAGAGCAGTCCATTTGCCTTTTATCAGGTTCAGTCCCATTTTGTGGTTCTATACTAAGTGTTACATTCAAAAAGAAGTTGGTTTTTAAGTGTCTCGGTTTTTTTTTTTAATACATTCTATTTTGCAAAAATTTTTTAAATCTTTTCTTTCTAATTGAGAAAAGCGTAGGTGTCAAGGAGAAAGATCCCCTGGTATATGTGGAATGTATGTGGTCGTGTTCTTTCTCCTTTTGAGCTTTTCCCAAGGCAGCTGTGGAATGTTCGAATTCCACAGATACTGATGTATGTTTACGTAAGTCTGTTTGACGATCAGCAGTAGATTACATCACCCCGTCTTATGGTAGACTCTAAGCAGATGTGTCTCGCTCCAGAAAAAAAACAGGTTTTCTCTCCTTTCTTTCCTTTGCATTTATCATCACTGAATTTTTCAGACTTTCAAAAAGGTTGTAAGCAACAACAAAAGGGACAGCTGTGCCTTTCTTTCTCCAGCATGCAGTTGTTGCCAAGCGTACCAGTACAATGTCAGCTTTTGCCAGTTACTGGGGTGAAAACTGAATCCCAGTCATTTTCAGGAAGGTGGCTCTTTTCAAAGTTCATTTTTGTTGTTGGTCTTAGGATGTGATGTCAATTCTGGGTTTGGAGGCCATAAACTTCTAGAAAAG